ATGCAGATGCGTTGTCACCCCTGAGGACTTAAGGTGAGTGCCTCGTTTCCAGTGAAGCGTGGTCCTTCCCCGGTCGAGCCCACCTATTCGTGCTACAACCATAATATGAATACAGCATGGCTCTACCACGTACAGAACTTTCATAGGCTGTAATGAATCAATAATGAATTAATTTATAATATTGAGTTTAATCTATGACGACTCCGTGGCATGACGTGGCTTAACTTTAAGTTGCGGCGCCGAGGGCTGCGGGTTAGAATCCCGCACGGAGAAATGTGTTTGTATGTGTCTACAAATAATTGTTCCGGGTCTGCATGTTTGTCCTTGTGCAATTTGTGTTTGTAAACTGTCTCCACGATACATGAGAAAATCCTGGTGTGAGGGAAACGTTTTTTTTTAATAAAAAAAAGGTTTGTAAGAGAAAACCTATATCGCATATTCATTGATTCACCTTCCATGTATCGTCCATCCATCCATTACAGCCTATAAAAATCTACTGCTGAACATAGGCCTCCCCATAGATTAACTCATAGGTGGGTTTCAGGTATTAGTCAAAACTACTTTTGACTGCAAAAATAAATTAAAAGTGGCATTGCCCCATTATTCGTAGTCAAAAGTGGTTTTGACTGGTTATGAGTTTTGACTGTGACATATACTTGACGTACACGAAATACCAGCATGAAATGGACTGCCTGGTATTCCGTGAGAGTGTGGTCCTTCCCTGTCGAGTCGATCATTCCGAGTTACAACCATCATGAATGACTATGATTGTCCCGCCATCTATCGGAAGTCAAAGTCTTTCTGGTATTTCCGATGGTCGTTTGTTATTACACTCACGACCAAAGCGATGTGATGATAGAATCTTTTAAGTCGCCACCACACGGATTTATATGTTATAGAAAAGTGAAAGTTCTATCGCGGTAATGCACTTATTATAAAATTAAAACAGAATATAATATTTTGGCTTGTTAATCTTAATTTTAAATAAGCAAAGTATATGAAAATTTACAACTGATAAAAAATTACACTAGGTAAACGAAATTGCTCGCTCGTGAATATGCAAAATATCATCTAAGTATCGTTGTGCATTCCATCTTAACAGATTATAAAATGCTTATTAATGTACAGATAACTGTAATGCGGCTATTACTTGGAGATTTATAAATTAGATTCAATTGTGTGCAGAATGATAAAAGGTAATGAGCCGAAATGTGATTTTTTAGCTAATTTTGAAAGTTGCCAGTATGCAGTTAATATCTGTAGTAAAAGACAAAACATATTATTAGTTTCTTTAAAAAGGATTTAAAAAAGAATATTATATCATGTTATAACACCATGGCTATGTGATGGACGCGAAGAGGATTATGATGTAGGTGGTAGGATTTCTATCCTGCCTAGAAATCTGTTTTAGTAGGTAGCACCCTTTTACGAATCATTATCATCATTACAACTATCACAAGTCCACTTCTGAACATAGGCCTCCTCCAAAGAATGCCACAGAGCACAGCCCTGAGCCAACTGCATCCTTCTTCTTCCTGTATGTCTTAGCAGATCATCACTCCATCTAGTGGGGGTCCACCCTACACTTCACCTGCCGGTACGAGGCTGCCACTCGAGAACCTTTCTTCCCCATCAGTTGTCAGTTCTTAGAGCTATATATAGCCGGCCCATTGCCACTTCTGCTTACTATACCTTTTACCTATATTTGCCGTCAAATGACAGTGCCATTCCACCTTAGTGTTCGGAGGTGACAACAGTGGGATTTGTCATATTTACTACGCTTTGTAGGCGGGTTCGCAACCTTAGTATATTTTATTATTTTAAGGGTAGTATCAGGAAGAAGCTGCTACTCACCACTTGCTTCATTTCCCTCTTACGACCCTCACGGCAGGGTTAGTGGATTCTCTTCGCGAAACTTCAATGGGGCCCCCATATATCAAAATTAGCTGCTATAAGAAAGATGCCGTAAGAAAGATTAGAAGTCTCACAGATATTGAGACAGCTAGATTAGTATATTTTAGTTACTTTCATAGCGTAATGTCTTATGGAACTTTGCTATGGGATAATACGACTGATATTGAAGCTATATTTGTTTTGCAAAAGAGAGCCTTACGGGCGATTTATAACCTAAATTGTAAAGAGTCCCTCAAAGAAAATTTTTAAGAAATAAACATATTAACTTTGGCATCGCAATATATTTATGAGAATGTAATGTATGTGCATAAAAACATAAATAGCTTTAATAAGAATAAGGATGTGCATACTTTAAACACTAGGAACAAACATAAGCTTGTAATGCCAGTTACTAGACTCCACAGAATCAGTAATTCATTTATGGGGCAATGTATACGCTTTTACAACAAAATCCCAGAAAATGTTCAAAGTTTGTCAATAAACAAGTTTCAAAGTTTTATTAACGAAAAGCTGTACAAAAAGGGTTATAACAATATCAAGGAATACATGAATGAAAATATCCCCCGGGAATAAGGTGATCCCCACCATGCTGGTTCTATGGAAATTCATTTAAAAATTCTATAAACAAAATTATTGTTAAGTGAAATATGTTTAAAAAAAAAGTCCCGCTGGGTTTCTTGCCGGTTCTTCCCAGGACAGAGGATTTTCCGAGCCAGTGGTAAATTAAAAATGACTTTCAATAAGTATTACGTAATAATCTTTAATTCTATTCTATTCTTACTTCGTCACAATACAAAAATATAGGCTTTGTCTTTACTTTTTTATTTTCTTCTTGAACAGACATATAAACATTTGTCTTTTTTTACTCCAAATGCGTTCGGAACACATACTACAGGACCCCTTTCTAAGCTGATGGTTTAAGCGCTGAGGGTATCGAGAATTTCCCCATGTAAAAAAAGGTTGAATTAAGCCATGTAGAGATCCCTAGATCCCTAATCCCTAGATCCCCGGGATAGAAAACGTAGGACTCGGCCCTTATCCTTCTTTTAAATTCCTAAAGGACATAATAAAAATATACAAGCTGCGAGGCTCTTGAGCGTCGCGGGGTCCGCACACTATTATCTACTTTGCATTTAGGTTTTTGGAACGAAGTTCCTTATTGGACGGTACGAATTTGGCGGATGGGGCTAGGCGACAAAAAGTGGAAGATTTTTCCGTCACGACCCCTTTGGACGTAGTGGCCTTGGTGGCTATAAGGAAGCGAGATGGAACAATATCCATCTCCCTCGCTTTTTTTATTATCTCGCCATGAAATAAATATTATTTTATTTTAAATAACGCTTCATTTTAATAGACGCTAGTAATTAATTAATTAATATTTGTTAATCAATAATATAATACGTTTATCAATAATGATATACTACGAAAGGAACTTCGTTCTAACCGAGTATTCCACAACACTCACGCATGTTTTTTTTTTATAAAACTGAAGTGACAAAAGAGCTTACAGTAAACGTGGAAAATGACTATTACAGCCTATGGACGTCTACAACCAACTTCAAAATTAACGTTATCATCTCTGAGGATCAAGATGGAATGCCTCACAGTCTGTAATATACTGGTTCTACATATCCTTTAGAACGGAAGACAGCATTTTTCGCACTCATTTTTCGCTCTGTTTAGTGGCAGAAATAGGTAAGGAGGTCAGTCCAACTCTGCAAATAATTTTGCTAAACACGAAGACAAAATGTTTTATCCCCTTTACATCCATTCAGAGTACGGTCAATGTTTGTAGCTCCATTTTGCGCGGATTATTATTGTTATTTTTTTTATAGAATGAGGGTGACAAACGAGCACACAGTCCACCTGATGGTAAGTGGTTGCTGTGGCCCATAGACATCTACATCTATCTTTGTTTGTGAAATAAAATGCAGATGCGTTGTCATTCGTGAGGACTAAGATAGAATGCCTCTTTTCCAGTAAAAAGGGTCTCCGGTTTTCTACATCAACCATACGAAACACAGCAGCATTAAGCTGATATTTTACGTTGGTATTCTGCGAGAGCGTGGTCCTTCCCCGGTCGAGCCCATTCGTGCTACATCTATACTATTAATATAGCTGCAGCATAGCTCTACCACGTATAAAAACTTTTTACGTTAGATAAATTACCATAATATCTTCCATACCGAATTCGGTGACGGCAGCCAGTCTCAACGGAGACCAGCCATCTGCGCAGGACAGTATGTTGTTATGTTTTATACATGGTAGAGCCAAGCTGCAGCTATGTTATGGTTGCAGTATGAATGGGTCGGTTCAACCGGGGTAGGACCATGCTTTCACAGAAAACCAGCGTAAAATAGCACCTTAATGCTTTTACTGCTATTACTGGAAACGAAGCATTGCATCTTAGTTCTCAGGGGTGACAACGCATCTGCATTTTAATTCCTACTTTTGGATAAATATATATGTCTATGGGCCACAGCATTCGCTTACCATCAGTTCTATAAAAAAAAACAAGATTATAGTGTTCAAGTATATGCACAAGTACAGGTGATTTCCCTATTCTCTCACGCTCATATAATACAGGGATGGTTATCCGATACGACCGGAGAAAGATTACGGACCAACGGCTTCACGTGTTTTCCGAGGCACAGGGCACAGGGAACCGCTAACTTTATGACTCCGGGCTGGTACTAGGAATTTCTTGTCAGAAAAATCCAAAATCTGATTTTGACTCGACTGATTCGAACCCGAAACTTTAAGATTATTAGTCGCCTTTACGATCACTAGACCAAAGGGGCAGTCAAAACTAACTAATCAAAATAACCATCTATTTCTTATTACGTTGTAGAATTAGGGGATATTAAAATAATCATACCAGCACCGCATCCATGCAAGACGTAGGTAAGCATCAATTGACGCGATGATCGATCTACTTTAAAAAAATTGAATGCAATAAATTGTATGCCAGCTACAATTAACACATAAAATTATCGAACCCAAGCGTTCACCCTTCTTTGCTCGTATCTCAACTGTTCCGAAAGTGGGAGGGACAGTATAAAGCTTGTGGGTTAGAATGTCTGGACACAACACAACCAGTCTTCGGCGTCGAACGAAGACACACAGCAACATGAAGCTCTCGGTGAGTTTTATAAGTAAATAACTCGTGCAGTGGAAGTGTAGTGAAATACAAGTGTGAAAAATAGTAAAACAAAACATCATTCTTTCTCTTTTAATTGGTATAGCTCGGTAGCATTTCGTCTCGACCAGCGCTCATGACCATATAAATAAAGGCACTTTTTTAATTTATGAAAAACATACTTTAAATTGTTAATTTTATATTTAAATAGTTCCAGTTTGGTTTAATTTATTTTATTATTTACCACATTTAATACAAAGCTTATTTGTTTACCCATAAATTGTTAAGACTTTTATTTTCCTTTATGGTCAGTACCTAATTTTTTTATTTAAAAAATTTTAATATTTAAATTTCTCCCTAAAAAGAAATTTTTAATCAATCTATTTCGTTTAATAGCTTAAAAATCTATGCAGTAATCAGTACAGTTTCCGCAATAACGACAGCACTTAAATATTTTCTTCCCGCGTAACAGCTTTAGTAATGTAAGTAATTTTCTTTTCACTTTCTTCCTTCCTGCTACAATCTAAATTAAATTACAGATTCTGTTAGCGATTGTCTTTATGAGGTTTTATAATAATACCACTTAAAATACTTTCGCAGATTTATTCACGTGCATACATTAAGTATTGCTTTGTGAATTAAAATATTCAAAATGGCGTATTTTTGATTATTGCCATATATATGTAACATAATTATTAATTTAACTGACTAAAATTTAATTTTTCGTATTAAATTCCTATACAATGTAGATAAAATATTTTATATTTTTAAATGAAATTATAAAAATTTATTATTTTTAATATTTTTTTTCGGACGCAAGTAACATTCAATAAAATTCAAATAGAGTACCTTTACGCGTTCCTTTTTGCATTTATAAAGGTAGCGACAGCTTAGTCTTTCGTGAGTGTATTATGTGTGCGTTTGTGTGTAATATAAACACACCGCCCTAATGCCACTACGCGGGATTCACAAATCACCGAATGTTTTTTAATATTTTCCGGATTTCCTGATTTCCTCGCGATGTTTTTCTTCACCGCAAAACACGTGGTAAATCAGCTCATAACGTTGCGACTAACAATTGATGTTGGTAGTAATCACACTCGCGTACTTCTAAAATTTAATGTGTCGATTTAAAACAAAACTATTTTTAGTATTATTTTCAGTACTAACAACGTCATTTCCGTGCACTTCGTTAGGAATGATCACATCGTAAAGTAGAAGTAAAAGGAGCAATCTCATCTGGCAGATGGTGAAGTAACTATCTCAAAAATTATTAGACTTAAATATCTAGGTTGGTGACGGAGACAGCACATACTGTTCGCGAATCCATGCCTTTTATGGCGATCCCGTAAATCCTCCCACTGTCATAGATATTAACGACGCGACTTTCCTAAACGCAGTTACTTTGTATTCCGCATGTCTTATTATAGACCATCATTTCTAGTCGAATGCTCCTGAGGACTTCTGAGAATATATTTTAAATCTATTTCTCGTTCCGATCAATCGTTCCTATGATATCGGCGTTAAGAACTTAAAATACTATTCAAATAACGTGTTAAGACGTTCCAACTCTAATCACGCGACCAGAACAAACAAAAATGCGTGTATAAGAATGGAGGAAATGTCGATTAATGTGTTAACAAACGTGATGCGTAATTATGTAATGCGCACACGAGCGGTTCATTCCGACAGCTGATTGCCGCAGACCGATAATTGTTTATTTCGCGGGTAATTTATGTATCGTAATCTTGATGCGTAGTTAGTTAATACTCGTATTACATTATTTATTAAGGATAATTGGACATACTGGCCATCTATACTCTGCAGAACGGAACAAACTAGTGCAAGTACTCTTTGGGGGTGGAATTAGGTAAGAGTGTGTCCTAGGCAGACAAAATAGGTCTACCAGCTAATATTAGACCTACGTGGTCGAATTTCGCTCGGTATTATAAAAAATATATTTTTCTCAAGAATGGCACCTTTATTAATTAAAAAAGCCTAAATCGTTAGAGCCGCTTCCAGGATATTTAAGAAGTATTAGGATAGCAGATAGGAAGGAAGTAAATTTAAGTATAATAGTTTTCATCTTACATACATAGGTACATAGGTAAATTTATAACTTATAAAATAACTCTAATAATATTTCTTTAACAAATAAAGAAAAATTAAAAATTTAAATGATAAATAAATAGTATCTAACGGGACAAAGAAAATCGGAAATGTTTTATCTCTTAGACGTTCTCTAGAAGATATTGCAACCGCATGCAACAAAATTTCATAACTGCACACGTTTCAATAGACGATTGTAACAGACATTATTTAAATATATGGCGTGCAGTTATATAAATATTCCGTTATGAAATTTTATTACCGTTTACTGCGACAAGAATGTACCCAAATAATACGCAATGTAACGCAAAATAAAACATATATTACGCAATGTTTTTAACATCGCTGAGTTACTAAGCTAATATTTTAAAGCCGTTCGGTACGAGTACCATCCGATATCACTTTCTGATTGAAAATTGTAGCAGCTATTTGCTTCGTGGATCGTTTTTTAAGTTTGCTATCCGAGTAAGCTGTGTATGTTTCTAATCATTCGACTTACGTTGCGGATAGAATACGGAGCCTTGATCTGGTATATATCTCACTTTCACTAGAGTAATACATTTTCCGAACAAGTGCGAGTGTTAATACGCTATTTGAATGTAAACAAGACTACGCAAGTAAGGACGTCGTTATATTGGGAATTGTAAGTGAAATGTGATTGGGATAAAATTATCTTAAACTTAGATTGACTCTAAAATGGCGTGGCTAAATTTATGGAATATTTTCGTTTTTTAATAATCACGCCGATCGAAGGCTCCCAGATTACGAACATAGTTTCTTTAAAACTGTGTTACCAGTGAGGACACATTATAGAATTGAAACGTGGTCCTTCACTGTTATCCTACAAACTAGTACTAAGTAAAAGCTTGGTAAAAATGCAGAAGTAGATAGATGAAGGTGGTTTATGGCACTTGAACTATGATGTTAAAAAGTGTTAGGTGCACACTTCCATGCAGAAATAGATACATTGAGTTTTGTGTCAAATATTATGTCTTTCGGCAACAATGACAGTTCCGACTGGACTTAAAACTATGCCTTAATAAAGTGTTATTTTGGCCATAAGCCAGGCGGTCGTCAACTCAAGAGTTTAAACATGTTGAAATCGTGTTCAACGAACATCTTTTGCGTCGTTCCTTTCATACCGCTTCTTTACATAATTGTTATCAGTTTCATTTTTATTTGTACTTACAAACAATTATTATATGAAAGTGGGAAACAGAATGTTGTGCAATTGAATCCATTATACAGGCGGTAACAGATCACTGTCATTATAATGGTCATGGCAATGTCATTTAATGAATAAAGCATAATCCTGTACAAGTTTCAATTTATGATGCTGGAAGTTTAGATGTTAGAAAGTTGTTCTTTTTATATAAATATTTATTTTAAACAACAATGTGCCACAAGATTTTACCATCCTATATACTTGTTTCGTTACGGGCCCTGGGTTCGAGGTTAATTGCGACTAGTATTGTGTAAGAAATAAATAGATTTATAATTATTTTCTTAGCACTTAATGACTTGAGATAAGCTCCGTGTTATGAATCTTTTAAGCAACCTTTATCGATCTTAACGTATTTACGCTACATTAAATATGGGTGGAACTAGTGACATGTTCTGCTAGTTATTAACTTACAAAAGTCACTTAAACTAAAAGAGTTCAAGTAACCCATTCCTGTAATTTCAAGTTAACTAAATATTATTGTAAACGTATCTGAAATTTTCAGATCACTGTCAGTATTTACTAATGTATAAGTAATTTTTATTAGGAAAAATAAATTGGAAGTTTCAACAATTGTGTGTTGTGTCGTCCGAGAACTAGATCACAACAATAATTGTTAAGGGAGCAAAAGAACACACGTGTTTCTCACATTGACACATAAATACGATGATTTTTAAAACTAAACTGTCCCAAAATACATATACACGAGTATTACAGCTAAGCTTTTTTGTTCACAGGTTGTTCTGGTCGTCTCACTGGCCGTAGTGGCCCTTGCGAGCGAGGAGAAAGGTGCCACAAAACAAGCGGCTGCCGAAGATAAGAAACAGGAGAAACGTGGTATCTTCGATACTGGTTCTTATGGCGGCAGCTCCGGTCATGGAAGTTACAGCTTTAGCGGCGGTGAAGGAGGCCAAAGTGGTCATGGAAGCTACAGCTATAGCAACGGTAACGGAGGTGGTGATGGAGGTCACAGCTTCAGCAGCAACGAAGGATACAGCTACGGTGGTCAAGGTGGCGGACACGATTTCGGAGGCCAGGAGGGCCACAACTTTGGAGGCCAAGAGGGCCACAACTTTGGTGGTCTAGAGGGCCACAGCTTTGGAGGCTATGGAGGCGGCGAATTCAGTTCAGGCTCTAGCGATTCATGGAAGCCGATTTCCAGCGGAGGCAACGAGGGTCACTCTCATCATGAACACGTCAAGACCATCGAGGTAGTGAAGAAAGTGCCCGTACCTTACACCGTAGAGAAACACGTTCCCTACACCGTCGAGAAGAAAGTTCCCTATGAAGTCAAAGTGCCTTATCCTCAGCCCTATACCGTCGAGAAGAAAGTACCTTACCCCGTCAAGGAGTACGTCAAATACCCCGTCTATGTGCCCGAACCTTACGAAGTAGAGAAGAAGGTCCCATATGAAGTGAAAGTACCAGTTGACAAGCCTTACGAAGTCAAAGTTAAAGTGCCAACTCCTTACACCGTTGAGAAGAAAGTGCCCTACGAAGTTAAAGTACCTGTTCCTCAGCCCTACACCGTTGAGAAGAAGGTACCCGTACCAGTTAAATACGAAGTCAAAGTACCCCAGCCCTACGAAGTCATCAAGAAGGTACCTTACGAAGTGAAAGTTCCAGTCGATAGGCCATACAACGTGTACGTGCCTAAACCTTACCCAGTAACCGTTGAGAAGCCGTACCCAGTAACGGTTCATAAGCACGTGCCCTATGAAGTCAAGGTCCCTGTTGACAGGCCCTACAAGGTCGAAGTTGAGAAGCCTTACCCAGTTCATGTTAAAGTGCCAGTTCCTCAGCCTTATGACGTATACAAAAAGGTTCCCTATACTGTCGAGAAGGGAGTGCCCTACGAAGTCAAAGTACCTATTGACAAGCCTTACCCCGTATACAAGAACGTTGGAGTTCCTTTAGTCAAAGAGGTACCTTACCCCGTTAAGGAGCATTATCCAATTTACCTTAAGAAGGAAGAGGAGCACCATGGCCACCATGGCTGGAACTGAGCTGTGTTCCATTAAATCTCTCACCCAGTACCTTATAGGCTAAGTTCAAAATGTGATCGTTTAGAGTTTCTAGTGTATATTTGATTCATTGTTAAGATACTGGTGTGCTGCTCGTTCACGTTTGTATGGTTGTGATTGCGAGTACTGAATTGGTTGTAAGAACGAATGCAGAAATTAAAGTTCCACAAACGCGGACAAGCAACCTTTAGATATACTGACCGTAAACGATCTGTTGTTACTTATTTAGCTTTTTTATTTGCTTTGTTTAAAATGTAAATGACGAGTATCTCGAAAGAGTACTCAAAGTTGAGGCTGATAAATAAATGTATTGAAATGTTAAGTATTGTGTTCATTCCCCCCTCCCCCCCTCCCTTAATAAATATTTAGGGCCGAATTTTCAATCGTCAGTGGTAAAAAAGGTCTTAAAATTGATTCTCAATAAGTGATATTCATAATCATAATCAATTTTGAATAAAAAATAATCTTTTTCACTTTCTATTTATAAAATTATGAGTGACAAAAGAGTACACAAGATAGAAAACCTCCACCACTACATTCACCTATGTTCTATTATGAATCAAAATACAACTGCATTGTCAGACCTGAGGCCAAAGATGAATTACCTCGTTAGCAGTTAAAACGTACTCCGGTTATCGTCACTTACCATATAAAACCTAGCAGAAATACACCGCTATTTTATTTTATTTATTATGGGGTAAGCACTCTCCGCAAATGTTCTAGTACGCATGCATGATTAATTGCTGATTTACTATGTGCTCGGCGGTATAGAAAAACGTCGTGAACCAGTGCAGTGGTAAAATTACAAATTTTGTACAACCCACTTCAATATAAATAAAATGAGAACATCATCAATGTAGTCGAAGTCAATTAAATACGCATTATTAAGCATAACTCAAAAACTACTAGTCATATCTTGATTATATGGGATCACATGAGAAAAACCAACTTTCAAATAAAAAAGAATCATCAAAATCGATTCACCTAGAAAAAAGTTTCGAGGTAACACACAAAAAAATACAGTCGAATTGAGAACATCCTCTTTTTTTTTTAAGTCGGTTGGAAAACCAGCCTGTCTCACGAATAAAAATATTTCGGAGACATGGAAAGTTTCTGCACATACTGGAAAATCGCGTTGAACTATTTGAAAGGTGAGGAAGACTGTGTCCAGCCTTGGCACGTATATATAGGTACTATATCTGTACTTCCTCAGTTAAGTTGAGCCATTGGTGTTAAAGCCACGATTCAACTGTAGCGTGGTTTAATAGAACAAATACTATTTAATATTAAATTATTTCATAATATATAATACGCTAAAACTTCTAAAGTAACAATTTTATTATCTTCAACCGCAACAATACATTTGCAATTAAATTCAACATTCAAAAGGTACGAAAAATTACGAGCCGTCATGAACGACTAGTAAATGGTCAAAAGCCAAAACCGGTTTTAGTTACTTCTGTATAACGGCGATCCGAATCTTTCATTACGTTAGTAGATATTATTCCGTGCTATCGTGATCATTTTACTAGATTTTATTCTATGAGGTTATTGATTTACATTTACCATCCATTATAAGTAACTAAGTAAGTAAGTATTACCTGAAAAGTAAACACTATCCTTAGATATTGGAGATACAGTATACCAACTACAACCTTCACTCTGTTTTGAAAGTTTGCGAAAAACAGACAAAAAAGAAGTAATCTATGTAGAGTTGAAATTTTTCTAAAGTAATAAATTCTTTAAGGGTTTTTAGTGGTATTTGATTTTCAATTACTTGCGTTTTTATTTCTCATTTGATTACAAACATTCTTTTATTTACCATATCACTATTCACTATTAAAGAATCCGTGCTTATGTTTTAAACGACTTTAATTTTCATATTAAATAAATACATCTTTCGAATAATGTCTTAAACTTGTAGGTACTAGTTAATTGTTTTCAATCAAAACTACACTCGTTAGACTCAAGATAATTTTATTTTTAAATTACACAATTTAATCTAAAAAATAAAAGTGCCCGTAGTGCTACAAGAAGTCGGTTATGTTACATGAAAGTAAAAGTGTGTGCGAGGACAAAAAAAATAACGAAACAATTTGCCCATTTCGACACAATAAGACAATTTTATGTTTTATTACTCTTAAACAAAAGACAGTAATAAAGCGTAATAATTGACCTACATCAGTTTATTGACAAATTACGCCTTAAAGTCATGAAACTTAGCGCTAATATGTTTAATTTTAATACTCGTAGTTACATGATTGCCTAATGTACATACAACGTGTTTCTCGCAAAGGCTGTTTTCAGTATAATTGGTGCATATCACGATCTGATATGATGGAAAATGCGTTTCTGCACTAGTGCTTCTTAAGCGCAACAGTTTTCAAGGCTATATAACCATCTAATGTATTGTTCTGTACCTACATACACTACTTGGTGGAGTCACGCTACAGTGCATCACGCCTGCAAGACAAACGGAGGGCTCCACCGGAGAAGCAACACAGTCGTACAGAATACCAGTGTGAGTTAGCAGCTAATGAATCTGTGTATCGTAGGTTGAGTGACGCTTGGTTAGTGTCTATTCTAGGCGGTAGGACTTCTTTTTGGTGTAGGATCAGCTCTGGGTAGGTACCAACCTTTTACCTAATTCTTACTCCAAATAGTACTGTTGTGTTGCGGTCTGAAAGGTAGAAAGAATTGGTATAATTACATGCCGTGAAACATTCCATCATAGTCGTCAGAGGTGACTACGCATCTGTAGAATTCTGTGTCAAAAAGCCAAATTTGACATTGTTTCCAGGTGAAAACTTTGTTCTAATGGTTTCTTAGTTATAAATATCAATAAAGTTACATCGATATTCCAAGAAAGAGGTTATAGTTATGTGATTAAACAATCATGGCTGCCATCCAAAGTACTTACAATGTCCATTAAACTTCAAGTCATTAGAGTTACACACCATACTAAGGTAACCATACATAGTTATGTTTTACTAGGGCCTAAAAATCAAGATTCAAACGTTTTGTCGCATGAAATCGTAGCTAACAATCATATTGTACATACATAAAAAGCACATTGTAAGAAAGATAAATGATTGTTGAACTTATAATTTTTTTTAAATCGATTAATTGCTATTTTTACATTAAAAAAGTGGTTTTAGTGGCTTATGGTATAGATTTATCAAGCCTACATGGAGGCTAAACACGAATAATTTTGAAAATATCAATTTTAATTATTTACATATTTACAATTTTTTACTTTTAGAACCGCTCGTAAATTATAACGTTATTAATGCGTAAAATAAATTAGAAATAAATGAAACGTTAAAATGACTGCTCCGCAGCCATAAAAAAGGGTCACTTAAGTATAGCCATTCAACGAGGAAACGCAGACGTTCTTGGCTTATAGTATAATTATATATAATTTTGCTATTATTGTAATAAATATTGTTATATGCTATGTATATAAAATAATAAAAAATAAGTATGGAAATATAATTTCCATACTTCTTTTTTACTAATCATGGTCGCACTATTCGAGTAATAGCGCAGAGAGAAATATTCTTACCCGACAAAAATCAGTGTCAGTATGCGGCACTTTACATAATACTATTTACGATTCTGCGCTATTCTCTATTAGAAACGGGGTCATATTGTGTTAATGTTATATATATGTATACAACGTTACTATATTAAATAAATGTGCATATTAAATCCAATGTATATTTTAACAGTTAAAAGCAGATTTTCGAAGGAGTGATTAGAAAAAGCGGTGTATTCTCCAAGAACTAGTTTCTCTTTCAAGCCTGGTAGGTACTTTAATATTTTTTTAATATATAAATGACAAACGAGACAAAAGTCCACCTGATGATATACTGACTATGCTGGCGCTGGTGAGGTCGCGGATGTGTGTAAAATCCTTTCCGTGACTCTGCCTCTATGCGGCGAAAGTACAACGCTATTTAGTCGTGCGAATCCGACGTAACCCGTCCCTGCGCCAGGGGAAGTGAGTATGTGTAGACATTCTCATGACCATGAATAAAGGGGGGACAGAAGTGGAAGGAAAACACGTTTTTAAGTAAAAAAAAAGTGTTCTAGCAGACGTGTGTGGCAACGCAGTGCTTCCGTCGTGCCAGAGAATGGTGCCGGATTACTGACTTTGATCGCTTTTCACGCCGAGGTGATGATACTTATAATTATAACTTTTAACAAAAATTAAAAACCGACTTCTTGAGTCTAGACCACAGAACACTTACTCTACGAGTATACCGATATGCTTAGACCATACTACGCTTTAACACACGTTTTAACATTGTGAAATTCTAGTTTTAATTCGAGATTGCCTTTGAATACCGGCTTAACACTTAGCTCCTGTTAATATTATTATTGACGAAATTATTGTCGATCGATTCGAAAAACTATAAATTGTTGCTGCCAAGGTTACTGCAGCCTATGTTAGATACATCACGAAAAAAGCCCAGAGCTCAAGGTGCTGCTTTGACATGGTCTTATTTTTTAAACCGGTGATATTTTAAAGTAATTAATAAGTATTTGTTACCTTCCCCATTCGAGCCGACCCCTTCGCGCCACAACTATAATTTAGCAGCAGTATGGCTCTACCACGTACGAATTGCGATATCATGCGATATTACGATATTATGATACTACGATATTATGTAAGCTGTGTAGTGGCATTGTTAGAATATCCACTACTCCATATCATCCCGTGGGTGTGGAGGAAGACGGCAGAGGAAAACAAATCAAGAGATGGGCAACCTAATAACGACTAAAAATTTAAAAAAAACATGCATGAGTGTCGTGGAACACTCAGTTGGAACGAAGTTCCTTTCGTAGTATATTATTATTGAGGAACGTATTATATTATTGATAAGCAAATACAAATAAATAAATTACCAGCGTCTATTAAAATGAAGGGTCATTTAAAATAATATTTCGTTCATGGAAAAATAAGAAAAAGTGCGACGGAGATGGATATTATTGCATTTCCTTATAGCCACCAAGTCCGTCCACACAACGTCAGAAGGGGTCGTGACGGAAAAATCTTACACTTTCTGTCCCCTATCCCCCATCCGCCAAATCTATACCGTCCGATAAAGAACTTCGTTCCAAAATGTACTTACCAACTCGCTTCCCAAGCGTGGCAAATATGGCAAATATCCCCCCTATGAGGCAATCTATGGAGGAAGCCAATGTTCAGCAGTGGACTTTAGTAGGCTATAATGGTAATGGCAAGTATTTGTATTAACAACATGTCTAGGTACATAAATGTTAAAAATGTGGTAACTACTGACAGACATAATAA